CTCAATTCTCAGAATAAAATACAAAAATACAATTTTTAAAAAAATGTTGCCAGATGACACATGGCCCTCACCAGAAAGAGTGGGAGGAGAAAGCACCCTCATGGGGAATTGTCATAGCACAGTCTCTTTCTCCATCCTATCAGGATTTGGAGCACATACACACATGCACCTGGCGAGGTTCTGAAGCCACTGGGTGCAGGGTTCAAACTGTAGGGCTGGTCATGTGAGATCCAGCTCCCTCCTGCAGCCATGACCACCAGAGCTGGCCTCAAATGTATAATTTAAGGTTATCAAAAACCAAATGACACTAATAGTATAAAAATACTTTCCTAAGTGGTAAGTTACTGAAAGAACCTTTTTCTGCCTAGTTTTACAGATCATTTCTCTGGTACTTATTACCAGAGAAAAGTAAAACTTTCACCTGGCTTTACAATATCGGATGAGTGCCACATCTAATCTTACACAAAAATATCTTTCTCAAAAGTTTGGCACATTAAATGGATCTGTTAATAGCTAAGGCTGTTCTGGAGGTATTGTGAGAGCTCATAATTTATAGGCATACTGGAGAAAATAGTTTTTTAAGTGATCTTTTGGAATAAGTGATTTACATGTTTTACAAGTACAAATTCTTATTCACTGGATTTTCTTAAAGGTATACTCCAAAAAAACAGTATTTAATGTTAAAAATTATGATCAGGTTGGCCCTGAGCCTAATAGTTAAAAGAGCCAGACCCCTCATGGCTGATCACAGGATCTGAATCTTGGCCCTGGCAGCTTGAAAATGTCTCCAGGCATATGTGCATGCATGCCTAAAATTCTAACAGGCTGCAGATATGGAGAGGAAGGGGTTGCAACGTGACTATACCCCACTGGGGGGGGTGCTTTCTCCCTCTCTCCCACTCTGTCTCACTCTCTCGCTCTGTGTAGCAGAAGCACACAACCTCTGACAAACTAAAAATTAAAATAAATCAATAAGTATTTGTGATTTTTAAAAATAGCCTTTTTCTTAATCTCCAAGCTTTAAAAAAATAGCTCCATTCCTAAATAAATATTTTCACATAAACCTATGTCTTCATAATGCTCCCAGCTTTCCATAACGTGCGTTACTAGAGAATTTTTAGTTAGAAAGATACCAAGACAATAAATGACCGTTTTAGATCTCCAGCTTCATTTCAGCCTTCCTATACTCACACCCTAGAGGTTCCAGATTCTTATCCACAAAGTGATTATGGTTTAGGACTGAATCAGATTTGTAACAAATGTCCACTGGGATCCTTCGACCTATCATCGACGGGCAGGGCCAATATGTGTCTTCGAGCTCCCTGAATCCTTTCACCTTACCTCAGGGACTTTCCACAGTGCTATACGGTTAGAAGCGTTCTTTCACAAATGACAAAAATGAATGAAAAATGATTTCAGAGTGGAGAAACAGAAACCCAAGTCATTATATAGTGTCTAAAGGCTAACCTACATCTACCACCTTAGTGCCCAAACATGGGTACAATTAGGGATATTCTGTGAAGTTTTAAGTCTCATTATCTCTAACTTTATCTGCTGACATGCATCATTTATATTAACACTCCAATGTACTGAGCTATAAAACAACATAAAGTCTCTCATGGTGATCTCTAGTAGCTTAGAAATTGTTATGATATTTTAATTTTCCAGGAAAAAAATGTGTTAAGTTAATAAAATGAAACTTCTAAAAAGTATACTTTCCTCTAAATATATCAAAACAAAACTCTTAATAGAAGTCATGCAATCATTTATTAATATATTAGACTCTTTTTCTAAAGGGGAACTTAGCATATCATTTTCTCCTTTTTTGCTATTGGCCTTAAAATGTATTCCTCTTAAAAGTAAATAATAACTATTTCCAAAGAAAGAGAAGAAAAAAAATTACAAAGTACAATATTTTTATGCAACAAACTAACACCCTCAATAGTGACAAAAATCTGTCACTATTTATGTTACAAGTCTAGTCATCAATAAGATACTTTTTTTTCAATGTACCACTCAAAAATCAATTATATCAACTCTTTTGTATAGAGAAGCAACACACCTTTCAGGCAGCTAGTATTAATGAGTAGACATGACTATAGAATCTCCATCTGTTTCTCTGACAAAGCTGTGGCTACTCTAGTCTCTCATTGAAATTCCATTAATCTGGTGTACCAAGGTCCAATGCGAAAATCAAAACTCCATCTAACCCTTTATCAGCTCACAATAACCTACAAGTGAACTCTGCCTGTTAGCATGCAGCAAGTTATGATTTTGCTATCAATCAGGCAGTTGGCCAATAAAAAAAAAAGGCAGGCTGGAAACAGTGTCTGGCAGGGTTGAGAGACTTTGTTTTTGTTTTCAGTTTTCATTCCCATTCAATTTCTATAGGGTGTCTGGACCTTGTGAGATTATGCATTATTCTCCTTGGCTGTGATTTAATTGCTACCAGCAATCAAGTCGAAGCATCACTGAAGTGTGCTTGAATTTCATTAGAAGATATAACTTATGCTACTTTCCTACAGTACCTAATAAACCATAAAGAAACCAAAACACATATGGCTTGAGGGAATAACTGGAAAATTAGGTGGCCATTTGGGAACTGAGTGAACTTTTGAACCAGAGAAACAGAGAAAAAGAAATATTAAAGGGAAAGACAGACTTAGAATGCACATAGAGATGTGCAGGTTTGACCTTTTCAGTACCTTTAAAATTACATTAGCATTATGAAAAATACATATCATGTTTAGAGTTTATAATCCATCAAAGTTTAGATACTTTGTTAGTGCCTACCATAAGGTAAAAGTCAAAAGGACAAAACAACAATCTGATTTGACAAAAGGCCTTTTGGTGACCTGTACTAATTTGGTTATACTTATTGTTAAATGCATTATCTTTTTTATAATTAATACATCATTAGACTGAGGTCACATAATAAAGGAAAATTTATTCAGCAAAGAAAACAGGACCTGTACAAAACTCTAAGTTGCAGGAAGGAAAACTCATTGATGAGGTGGAATTTTAGAGTAAAAATTAAGAGTCAAGTGGTAGTTTGAAATTTTATTTAAATAATATTCTTAGAAGAAAATGTAAAACTATCAAAAATGGTACTATGCATATATCAAAAATGAATACTAAAAGTTTAATTTTCAATCTGCTTAAGAACTCTTAAACACTACTAGATATGAACTCTAACCTAACAAAAACTTTGATGTTATTTATACATAGTATGTAATTAATATTCAAATATTGACATAATAATCTTTAAACAACAAATCCGTTCATGATAGTAATACAATTCCTGCATATGTGAATTTGAAAACATATGATAACTTATTTATTCTTAAGAAATAAAATATAGTAATTACTTAAATGTTCTATACTTTAGTAATAATTCACTTTTCTTAACAAATCACTAGGGAATTATTGTCTCTTAAAGATGTTTAACTACTGAGTTATTTTTAGGCTAAAATTTTTTTTAAGAATGCACATAATGCCTCCTTATACATCAAAATATTGATGCTATTTTGAGAAACTGAGTATATTGATTCTGCGAATATATTCTGTGTGTATAGTCACAAGAACAAATATTTTGTCTCTGTGTATGTATATATACACACACACACTCATTTATCTACCAACATTTCACAGAAAACAAACAATTATAGTGTGTCTGAAAAATAGGACAACATAAATAATAATTATTTTACCTGAAAATGTTATTTCATCAAATTATAAAACATTTTCTAATGCACATGCTTTTGAAGATCAGGTTAGAAAGAATAATGTTCTATTTTGAATAAGTGTGAGTAAAGAAAAATAAACATCTTTTTAAAAGACAGAAAGAAAAAAGAAAAAAATCCTGTACTTTAAAAATAGAAATTAAATGTTTGCCAAAGTGGAAAATTCAACATAAAATGGATATGATTATTATTGCTACACATTGTACAAAGTTCTGGATATGAAAAAAAGATTGTTTTGTTCTGAATCAGTGGTTAGAATGTTTATCACTTATGCATGTACTTGACTTATCCCTGTTCTGCAATAGACATAATTTTATACCTCATAAAAGCAATTTATGTTTCCAAAGGGAATAATCTGGATAACATAAAATGTGGAGTGCTCTGTTGCAGGAAGCATATTTTCATTCAGCAATTGTATTTAGAGATGGAACTGCACAGTTTGATCATCATATAGTGGCAGAAGGCATTATTCATTTCTGTGTCTATGTGAAACTTTGAGTGCCACAAATTAATATGCATGGCTAATTTATCGATACACATTCTTAATTTATAACTATATATCACCCTTGCAAGGTTTCTACAACGCAGATGCACACAACTGGCTGTAACGGAGAAAGCACACTGCTATCCTAAAAGAAAGTTTCCTAACTTCAGCAACATGCAATAGTTTTTAGAAATGTAAGAGATTAGCAATCAATTTTATTACTACTTCAATTAATACAAGACACTCTAGTATTACTGCATAATGTGGAATGTTTTAAATGACAACAGAAAAACGAAGATGTATATTAAAGAAGTATTTGATAAAAGCATATCTCAATGTGAGATGGCAATGTAGGAATAATTAATTTAATATTTTATGAACTCATTTCGTATGAAGTTTTTAGAAAAAATAGATCAACAACCTTTTTCATAATTTATAAAATAAATAATACAACAAGCCGTTAAGCAGCACAGTAAAATTAAGCAAGAATCTGATAAGATTAAATTAACCAACATTCATATGATGATGCAAATACTCTCCTAAAAGTTCTAGTTATGAAAATCTCCTACAAAAAGATGCAACTACACGCTTAGGAAAACCTCACTAAAACCACTAGAGAGAGCTCTTCGGTTCCTTAAAAGGTTCTGGCAAAGGTGAGTTCGCTGAAGTCTCCACATTTATCTGCTTCCGGATAAGACTACCACCTCTACACACAGCATTGCTTTGTGTGGAAATGCCAAGAAGAACATCGTCTAAGAGAAAATGTCACATACCGTCAGAGGGGGTGTCATCATCTTTATCATATCGCTCTGAAGCTAAGGAAATAGTGTCTGGAGGCCCAGCAAAAGGGTCATCATAGTCATCGCCATCTTCTGCATCACCTGTAAACAATCAGAAAAAAATGCCTTTTAAAATCTAGTTACTTAAAATAATGCTAATCAGAAGAGGACATTTTTACCTCGGTTGCTGTTATGGAAAACCTAGGAAAATTTTTTGCACTAGGCAAAATCAGGTCCTATTTTAGTGTATATGCATTATAACTTAGAGTTTTTTAAGGTTGGCATACAAATGGTTTATTTGTGACACAAAGGATACAATATTAAAATTATGATGAGTCTCTACAAAGATGAATTTAAAAAGTAAATCAAGATAAAACAGTTATAACTAAAGTAAGCAAATTAAAAAGATAACAAAACAAAAATTCCAGAAAGCACAACAGAAAAATAATTCAAATAATCCCATTTACTACTCAAGAACTTTAAAAGCTGATCATTTGAAGTTATATGAACATTTTGCATTTTCATTTTTAAAATCACAAAATAACATCTAAAAATACTCAGTTGCATTTTTGAGAGTAAGAATTTTTATGGGGAAAACTGCTTTAAAATTCATATAATCTTGCTAAATTCAATAGAGATGATTTACAAACCAAGTACTTTCAATTTTCATTGAGTGGTATGTATGCTAACATTTTCTAAATGTTCTGGCTGGTTTCCTACTTGATTTCCAAATCCGAGGATGTTTTGTTTGGTTTAGTTTCTTGGTTTATTTTATTAATCCCCATGATGAAATCTTTTTTTTTTTCATATACTAGCTGAAATAATTTACCAAAAAAAAAAAAAAACCTGAATTAAATTTTGCTAGCCCAGCTATATATAAGCACTCATTTTCCACTCAGATTCAATAAGAAAAATATATGTTTAATATTATATCAAGTATCTAACTATTAATAAAAACGTTTTTAATTTAAAAAACAAAACAAAACAGCCACCTCAGGGATTACCTGAATTGCATGGTGAAAATCCTGTAGGAAGCTTAGAGGACCTATGGTATTATTCTTAAACCACAGTTCCTTGGCAGATCCAGATCAAAGCTACAAGTCTCGGCAAAAGGATATCTGTATCCCCAGATACACATTTGGTGGGTGTCACAATATTTTTTTAACCATATTTTTGGTACAAGTAATAGCCTCTTTAAAGACAAAACTGTCAAAATATTTTTAAATGAAATATTCATCTCTTCATAAGTTTGCTATTTCTTGAGCAACCATGACCCTTATTCTGAAAAAGTAAAGAACGGACAGTCCTCATTAAGACAGGAACAGAATATAGAGATGAAAATCTTGTCATCCTTAGTAAGTCCACCTCTAGGTGCACTAAATATGGTGATGTTTCTTCCCCAATTAAAATTCCAAGGAGCATATAAATACTGCTCATCCTTCGCATCTACATTTACCTTTCTTTTGAGAGGATGGGCACACTAGCACCCGTGATTCAGGTTGAATGAAATGAGGAACAGATCATGACATGAAGACGGACATGCTGGGAGTATCTGTCTTTCTCTCTTTCTCTCTCTCTCATGAAAGAAATAAATACAGGAAAATAAAAGCAGTAAAACCAAAGAACGTATGAAAATATTTTTTAAGAAAACTCAGATGTTTAGGCTTAAGTCTTTTATTAAATTCTATGAGGAAATAAAAAAAGTGAAAGTTTTGAAAATCAATCAGAAGTAGTTTATTATCCTTTGATAAGAACCATTTACATTTTAATGTGTATACATGTGTTTACACACAGATGCACATCCCAATCTATACTTGATATATATCACATATAGACATCAAAAAAAAGTTATTTTTAAAGAATTGTTTTATTGAATTTTTTTTTAATTTGACCAGAGAGAGAGAGAGAGAGAAAGAGAAAGTAAGAAAGCAAGCTTCCAGGTCCAAGCCTCAACCCGTGGTCGGCCACATGGGAATCCAGCACCTTAACCACCATGCCACCTGCCAGTCTTCAAAAAGACCATTATTAATGCTATAAACTTAGCAATAGTTTATATGAGTTAAAAATAATTATTCTGGGAAGTCAGCAGGTACCACAGTGGTTAAGGTACTGAATCCTACATGGTCAACTCTGTGGTTCAAGTCCCAGACCTGGCAAATTGAAAACAATGCTGGGCACATGTATGTGCATGCTCAAAATCCTGAGAGGGGAATGGAGGAAAAGGGACTGTGGCATGACCATCCCCTCTGGGAAGAGGGGTGATTTCTGTCTCTCTCTGGCAAGCACATGTGCCCTATAGCAAAAATCTTAAAAAATAATAATAAATTTTTTAAAAGAAAGAAAATAGAAAGAAAGAAAGAAAGAAAGAAAGAAAGAAAGAAAGAAAGAAAGAAAAAGAATTCTTCTATATAAATTGGTTACTGGAATGTTAAAGAGCTCTGTGGGTTTTGTTTTCAAAAAGCAAAACACTATTGGGGCCACCACGTGGTGCGGTGGTTAGGGGCGCTGGACTCCCACATGGCCGACCACAGTTCAAGTCCCAGACCTGATGGCTTGCTTTCTCACTTTGCCTCTCTCTCTCTTTCTCTCTCTCTCTTCCACTCTCACTTTTACTCTGTCCCTCTCTGGTCAAATTAAAATAAATGAATAAAGTTTAAAAAAAATGATTCTGAAAAAATAAAGTGAAATCATCTTCAACTAACCCATTCTAAGAACGGCAGCTATTAGATTATTTTTCCCAAAATAAACATATTTATATTAATCTGAGACAATAAAAAATTAAGTATTGCTACTAGTCTCATTTTTTTTTTTCTGGTTCCTTTATTAAAGAGTCTACAGCCCTTTTCCCACTCCTTAGTTATTTTTTTTTACCCAATAGAGTAAAAGCTGCTATCTGAAAAGAAGCTCTAATTGAACACAGGGGTCGCTGTTGAGTAGAGCAAAGCATTTTGCCTCCCTGGGGGCTATTTGCAGCTCTACCTGCAAAGACTTCTATAAATTAAAAGGAAAACGTTCAACCTGTGTTTATGTAATAGAAAAACTGAACTCCAAATCAACAATAGGCATCAGGTAAACGTATCCAATACAATTTACAGACATAATTGAAAGCATTACAGCCTAATCAGACATCTAAAAGAAAAGCATGCTCAAATGAAATGTCTACAGAATCATTAGCTGGCAGCCATTCTATTACAATCACACATAATGTCAGTGGTGCCTTGAGCCTGTGCCAATGACAACAGCATAAATTTTGCATCTCATTTCTGTGGTCATAAAATTAATGATCAGTTTAAAAATACTTCTTTGTAAAAGTTATTGCGCAAAGAAAAGACATGAATGTGTCCCTGTTATGTACTCACAAGGATAATTATGGGGTTGTTGCTCATTAATACTGTTTCTTGTTTCCCTAGAAAAGCATTTGATTTATCCTACAACTTTCAGAAGTTTAATTAACGATACAAAGTTAACAGTCTAAAAGACAATGATCCAAGACTTCCCTTCCTATAGTTTCAGTGGCAACTCAAATATCACAGTAAAATCAAGGTTTAGTCACACACAGCAGCAGAGTTCTCTGAAAACCATTTCAAATCTGTAATAGTTGCGTTCAAATCACTATTAGCCATTCCTTTTTATATGGCTCGTCAACGTTCTCCTAAATGCCTAGGGATGCAGCCCTACAGCAACTGAGCAGTCATGCTCTCTACCACCACTGAGGGTGACTTACCCAATTTACTGCTTGTTTTGTCAAATACAGCCCTATTTCAAAACCACCAGGTACACATTCAGCTAAATAATATTGTCAAATACAGCCCTATTTCAAAACCACCATGTACACATTTAACTAAATAATATACCTAAAGTTTAGATGATAATCATTGCCTTTTACAAAGCATGAACGATAAATTTTAGAGGAAAATTACTCAAATGAAAACAAATTTCTAATTCTCGGTTCAACTCACTTATCCAGACTGATTTCTCAAGTAATAATAATAGGGATAAATGTGGGGGGGGGAGGGTGTCAAAAAGATAGTGGAAAATGGAAATTAAAGTACAAGTTTATTTTGTTGCAAAAATAACTTTGAAACTCATGGTATTTTCATAATATCTATTTCCTGGGAACTGTTAGAAGAACCCTCATATACAGAATTAGGCATTTAACTTACCATTTCTTAGGGAAGTTTAATTCTTAAAACTTCGAAAAACACAGGTCACTAAAAGTACGTCTCTTCATAATTCTTCTACAACAAGAAGCCTAATTTGTAGCATTCAGATAGTAAAGTCGACTTCCTGCACCAAACTGAGGCAGTGCCTTAGAATAAGGATACCATCTCTCCAGCACTGTCTCTGAAATATGCCTCTACTACTACTAGTTTCAAATATGCTTAACACATTTATATACGGCTGTGAGTTTCTATGAGTGGTAGAAGGAAAAAGCTGTGAACTTTTTATTCAGGTTTCACAGTGGAACTAACTTTCAGCAGAAAATATACTATATTAGGAACAATAAAGGAAAAGAAATTCAGCATCATTCAATTTCTGACATTTCTGCCATTCTGTGTTTGTGTATACAGAAGCATGTGCATGTGGGCTAGAGGATGCACCCGTCAGAAACAAACAGGGAAAAGAGAGAAAAAAGCAACCCCCATGGGGAATGTTCAGGCTGCAATCCCTTCTATTTTTCACTCTCCTTTTGAGATTGGAACACATGCCCACATGCCCAGCATGTCTCCCAAGCTACTGGATCCAGGACTTAAACCACACAGTCAGCTATGTGGTATCCAGCTGCCCTAACCATCAGGCCACAGAGCCAGCCTGATTTTTCTGCTATTCTTAAGGATTCCACTGGGACACATTAAAATGCGCCCCTTCTTACCTAACAGTCCTGCTATTTAAAAAAAAAAAAAAATGGTAGTTTAGGGACCAGCAGATGGTGTAATGGTTTCGTCACTGACTCCACGTAATTGGCCACAGTTCGAGTCCTAGACCCAGCAGCTTAAAACTCACACAGGGCACATGTGCATGTGTACTTGAAATCCCAAGAACAGACTGGAGGAGAAGGTACTGTGGGTGTGGCCATCCCCCCTAGGGGGATGATTTCTCACTTTCTGTCTCTCTGGCAGGTGCACATGCCCTACAGCGAAAATCTCTCAAATCTATATAAATAAATAAATAAGGCAGTTTAGCCTATTTAACACACTTACAAGTACACAAATTAGAAGAAGTTCAAAGGAAATTACTTTCTATATAGATCTACATGTTTTTAACAATACCAATGAAGTTTTCAGGACAAAATCTATTAAATAAAATGTTTTAAATTATAAGACAAAGAGATTTTAAAGGAAAAGTGACAGCTTTTTACTTGTAGCATCTAAAACAATTTATTTTTTAATAGTATTACTTATTTCATTTTATTTATTATTATTATTCAAGTTGACCAGAGAGAGACAAAGAGAGAGGGAGAGGGAGAAAGCAAGCCACGAGGTCCAGGACTCAACCACAGTCAGCATGTGGGAGTCCAGTGCCTTTGCACTATTCCACCTACCGGCCCTGTATTCACATTTTTAAAACCATGGATACTAATGTTGTAAACTTTTGAAAATCATTCTCTTGAGATATTTGTTGCATGTTAATATGCATACCCTCCTTTAAGTAACTTTTCATTGCTCAGAAAATTATTTGAAAACTTACTATATAGGGACCAGCAGGTAGCCTAATTCAAGATTAAGATACAATTATAAGTAAAACTTTTAAAATCATGTGCCTAATACGTATTTGAAAATTCTAGTTAGCACTCAGTTAATAATAGTCTTCACTCAAACAGTAATATATTCTCCTTGTAGAAATACTTATTTCAAGTCACATTTAAGAGATCTATAACCTTATGTGACAGAGAACACTTCTCAAATAAACATATAGCATAATCCCAGTGCACGGAGCCAATATTCAGAAGGACACTTTATAGTACAAGGCTATATTGCAACTAATAAATAGGGTTCGTTATGCTGTCTGTATAATACTTTGAAGAATGGAAAAAGAAATCTCTATTCTGGATAAAACAGACAATGTTTCAAATAGGAACTAGACTAAGAAAGATGTGTTCTAGCTGGTTAAATTCAAATCTTTCCTAAGTACAAGTAAAATTTTAAAAATTTAGAAAACCAATTGAGAATTACTCTAAAGTTCCAATTTGTCAGTCTTCTTCAGTGGGGGAAATTAGACATGAGTACATAAAGAGATATTTTAAAAGAAATAAAGAAATGGGACCAGCAGGTAGCATAATGGCTATGTCACTGGTGGCTTAAACTCACGCCAGGCGCGTGTACGTGCGTGCCCAAGATCCTGAGAGGAGAGTGGAGGAGAAGGGATTGCAGTGTGGCCATCCCCCCTGGGGGGTAATTTTTCGCTTTCTGTCTGTCTCTCTCTCTTTTTCTGGCAAGAGCACGCGTCTCATAGCAAAAACCTCTCCGAAAAAAAAAAAAAAAGAAAGAAAGAAAGAAAGAAATGAAAAGTTTCAAAACAACAGATTTTTATGGAAATGAATATAAATTAACAAGTGCAAGTTAGCTTAATGGACAAATTTCAATATTTAAGAGTAATAAAACAAGTTTCTACCAATACAAACTATTCTCACAGAAAAAAAAATGAGATACAAAAAAAGTTTAAGATCTATGCAACTTAAAGTTACAGTCATATAAATTTAATTAATGTTAATAGGTGAAATTCCTCAAACTATAAATTCTATATTGTTAAATCTTAGACTAGGGACCAGTAGTTGGTGTAATGACTATGTCGCTGGACTCCCATGTAGTCAGCTATGGTTTGAGTCCAGACTCGGTGGCTTAAACTCACGCCGGGTGCATGTGGGTGCGTGCGTGCATGCCCAAGATCCCAAAAGGAGAATGGAGCAGAAGGGATTGCGGCGTGGTCACCCCCCCCCCAGGGGGTGATTTCTCACTTTCTGTCTCTCTGTCTTTCTCTGTCTGTCTGGCAAGGGCATGCACCCTGTAGCAAAAAATGTCTCCCCCCCAAAAAAAAAATCTTAGGCTAGAACATTATCTAGACTATAAGGTGGGTGGGGGAAGACAGGGGAGTACGGGAGTTAAGGAAAGAAGGCTAACAGATATCTGTGCACATTAGGGAAAGTAACGACTGACTTAATAGAAATGAATACATCTGAACTAACTCATTTTATGTAGGAATACTATACTTGTTCTTTTTTTCCTCCAGTAATCGTATTAAAATGGCATATAGGGGCCAGCAGGTGGCTTGGTGGTTAAGGCAATGCACTTGCACATGACTGACCACAGTTCAAGTCCCAGACTTGGCAGCTTGCTTTCTCTCTTTCTCTCTCTGTATTTCTCCCCAAGGAGAAAATACACAGAGAGGGTAGTGAGCAACACCAGAACATACTTAGAATTTGATTTACTCATGAAGAAATCTGATCATAAATTCCTATTTTTAAAGAGCTGTCTCTTGAATAACTGCTTTGCAACTCTTAAATCTGTATCCTTTACTATTCCTAACAAACTACAGGAATAGTCTTGTTAGAACAAAGCTGAGGGTACAACGGCATAAAAGTACTCCGTTTCTCATATTTCTCCAAGATATACATCTAATTTATCCACAGGCTTACTTTGAGCAGGCACTCCTGGTGATTAGTTAACTCAATGCAGCAGTATTGAACTACGAATGACTTATTCAGAGGAAATGATTATGGGAATGTCTGAATTCCACATTATTTGAACTCTTATTCTAGGCTCATTTTTCAATTTCTATCAAATACTATATAAACTTCCATTCTCTTTGGAGACAAAGAATGTATCTCAGTAATGTAATTTTAATATCCACACACCTGAGCAAGTTCTAAAGCTGAATACCAAAGGGAAAGTTCCTACAATATCACTGAACCATATGCAATTATGCAATGGCTTCATATTATTATGCTCTTACTTTAAAATGTTTTAATGTACAAATAATTAAGCCACAATGAGAATTCAATAATCACCGCAACAAAATATGCTTCTTAAGAAGAGAGGTAGATATGATATGTAATATTCCTCCATAAATAATGTACTGCATAAAAGTTATCAGATTTAAATTGTATAAATTCATCGCATTGCTCTATTCAACAAAGCAAAATGCAATAAGATTAGATCCATAGTTCATAATCCATTGCAGAGCACAAAAAGTAGTGGTTTCTTGTGGGATGGAGTTTCCTGTCCTTCTCTTTATTTAATAGTGTTAAAAATCTTAGTATGGGATCAGCAGATGGCATAATGGTTATATAGCTTGCCTCCCACATAGTCGACTGTGGTTCATGCCCTGGACCCGGCAGCTTAAAACTCATGCCGCACACGTGTATGAGTGTGCCCAAAGTCCCAAAAAGAGAATGAAGGAGAAGGGATTGTGGCATGATCATTTTGCCAGGGGTTGATTTCTTGTTTTATGTCTCTCTATGTCTCTCTCTCTCTCCAGTGAGCACACATGCCCTAAAGCAGAAATTTCCCTAAAAAAAAATCTTAATATGAAAAAAAAGATTTCATCCCCTTCACTCATACAGATCTTGATTTACTGTTAAAAGAAACTGTGACTTCTTTTAACTGATTTTAGGTTATCTGATTAAGTAGTTGATTTCTTGAAACTCTTATTACTCCCTCATTTATCACTTGGCACAAATATGAATTACTAGCTAATAACATTTGTGGGATCTGCTTAACCCCAGTTAGAAGATGTCACTGTTTCTTCCTCAAACCCGAAACCTAGCTCTCTGCAGATGAACTGACCTCATGGCTGTCACACCAGCATCCACAAGCCCCAGGTCATGACCTATGCATTAGCATCATGTAAATAAGGCTGTACCCAGTTTCCCTTACAGAAATGAAGACATGAAGTGGTAAGAACTTCCTGTGCTTTCCTGTCCTGGTCTTCAACATGCTTAGCCACTGACTCTCAGAAATAAAGGAAGATAACCAGTAGGCTGTTACCAGTAGGGTCACTATTTTTTTTAAAAAGATATAGAATTCCATTCTTTAAAAAGATCTATGGCACCTATTTGTTTACACCTTTAAAAAAGCCAAGAAAAATAAAAACTAGCATTTGAAAAAGATTTTACTCATGTTCTCAAACAAAAATGTACACTGTTTTTAAACGATCCTTCAAAATCACTGCCTGTGAGCACCCAGCCACAGGTCCTCCTGCCTCCACCACTACCATAAAACAATCTCTGCAGTGTTAAATGACATTGAGTTGACATCTCACCCTGCTTGGCTGAGTTATTCCATATCTTTGCCAACAATTTCTGCCACAATGTAATCTTATGAAACACAAAACCTAAGAATGCTAAATACTTAAGATTTCTACATCAAAAGACTGTGCCGAGTCCATTCTGGGATATGCTTTTTAATTTTTTTCTCAGCAGGGGGAGCTAGCACTCTCATCTTGAAGGTCTAAGTATACAATATGGAAATTTAAATTTTGATTCCAACTATCAAATTGCAGTATGAGTTAGATTATCCTACTAAACATCTCCACAGGGAAAAAAGATTTGAAGTTTGACAAACTTGAAAATTACCTTTGTCTTGAAACTCCTGAAGATAGCTGCAAAATAAAGAACAATATATTTGAAATAAGGCTAAAAAATCAAAACAGGGTCAGTGATAATAACTCAAGTCCAAAATCTATATTATGAATACATGTCTAAAGAAAAACTGTTTCCTAATCCTGAAATGACAATTCCAAAAGGCCTAAGAATTTACAATACAAGTACTTTTAAAGATCTAAATACAATAGTAAAATGAAGATTTATTTTTAATACTTGTATTACATTTATTCATTTAAATTAGTAACAATTTAAAAAGATTCTTTTTTTCAGCATCTTGAGGTATTTTCCATATTTACATTAAAATCCTTAATCTACCTATGTCTTATCATTTAAATAAAACACACCTTTGAATAATCTAAATAAACAACTGGATTCTGTTAGGATGCTTAGAAAAATACATAAGTACCTTTACAAAAAAAAAAAAAAACACAGATATCTGGACTTTAAAACCAATAAACTGGAAATATATATTTTCCCCTTTAAAAATACTGAACACCAATTAAATTAATCCTAAAAATCTAACTCCCTAATGATTTTATATTAAAACATTAATTACACAGCTACTTCTAAGAAATCAGTAATAAAAAGCAAGTGACTTACATAGACTTTACATCTTTTATCTTCTTAATAAGGGATTCTCTCTTTTCCTTTGCTTTCTTGGATAAATTTTCCCCTCTTAGTATGTCTGCTACAAATGTTTCAACATCTAAACCATGAAATATAAGAAACAGGATACAAATTATAGGAAGGAACCATTTTTTGTGAAGACAAATAGGACAATGATTGTTTCTACATGCAAGTGTTAATATCTGCACAATTTGTTATAGTTATTTATCAATCCAAAGCCTAATAGTTGAAGTATATTTCAAGTACTAAATTGGACAAATCTGTTCACCACTTAGCTAATAAAATTTGTATGCTCTACTTATGCTTAGCACAGCAAATGCTATTTGGATGTTTGGCATCATTAAACCAGGAAGAAGCACACAAGTTTTAATAAACTGCGGTGCCCCATAAAACAAATTCTCTTCTATAAAAGCAAGCATCAAGCTTTTATGCATCTGTTACTATCACTACATAGTATTTTGTAAGCTCCTGTATAAACAGGTTATTCACAATATTATATTCACTATAAGCTAATGTCTCTGGCAAGGGTATTTTTAGGTATCCAGTGTTCGATACTTTAAAGGAAAAATAGGAATCTCTTTTTATCTAGCCAAGATTCCCAAATTAAGTCTTCCTTCTTCCCGCTTTCCCCATTCCACTCTGACCACCCTCAAATAAGAAAGAAGCAGTTATTGGCTGTGTGAGTTCTTGCTTCCTGCCTTGGTATTACCATTTGAAATATGTTTTAAATAAAGGAAGAAGTTAAAAAAAAGATTCTTCCACCATGTCAAAATGTAGTAGCTAGGAAATAAGATGTCTATGGTTTCATATAACATTCCTCCATAGCTTCTTTCTAAAAATTTTAGTAAGCCTCTAAATTATTCTGTTGTTTAGTTCTTTCTTGTATACATTTTAACACATCCTTGCTGGTTTGATTTTTATAATAGTTCCATTCTTATTGTTCATGAAACTTAAATTAATTTTACTTTCAGAATTTCATAGTTCATTTGAAATACTTAATATAGAAGATACCATAAAGGGTTTTTTTAAGTAGACATAGCTATCAATCACCTACATTTCATATTGAAGATATATATATACATATAGAGAGAGAGAGAGAGAGAGAGAGAGAGATCTTTTACTTTCTTTTTAACTATTTTGTCTCCTAAGTCACACTGGTAAAAAGATGATATCAAAACATAATATTATGTGGTAAGTAATTCAAAGTAGTATAATAATTAGTCTCTCCATTGTCTTATATTAACAATTTAAAACCTGGTATATGAGATAAAATATTTGTAATTGATTTTAAATTCATTACAGAAGTATCTTAATCCAATGAGAAAAGTTGATTAAACTGTTATACATTCATAATATGCATGTAAAGGTACTTTTTCACTATGTCAATATGACAAGTGAAAGAATTAAAATTTAATCTTATAATAATTCTTTAAAATAGATTCTGATCTAAAGTCCTTTAATGACTAATATACTAAAAGTAAGTGTCAAACTAAAATGAAAAGCAAAGTGTCATAGCTTCTCTCTCTCTTTTTTATTTTTTTTTTGAGTTGCCTATATTTTGAAGAAAGGACACAGACACTCAGAATAATGCAACTTATGAAGTGTGCTCCTTTAACTTTTAAATTTCTCTTTAAATTTTGTCCCCAGAGCAGCGAGCAACCTTTGGACAGCCAGGTATTAGCTGAGACAAGAAAGATACTGGCTTTCCTGAGATGGGTCCAGTGACTCTTCTAAGAAAGTGGAGGGAGAGAAGGAATAGCTCTACCACTGAGTCCTTCTTCCAAACTGACTTCACTGCTCACAAGAATCCCTGGCACAATGGCTGGTGAATAGTCTGCTCAAGGTTATTTTCATTCAGTGTTTGTCTTTAATTCCCTCTTCCACGAGTATTTAATGGCCTATTTTACATTTTCATTATACAATCCAAGTTTAAACAAACAGGATCTATTTTCTATCTCCAGAAGCAATAACAGAACGAATTACAGCCCAAGAGTTATTTCTTTAAAAGGTCATTTCAGTTCTATAAAAACTCAGAAAACAAAAAAAAGGCTGCGATCCTCTCTGTAATGCTTCCTAACATCCCCCAAGGTGTTTTTAAAATACTGATCCGCACTACAATCTGATGAGAAAATAATTGTTGAAAGAGTATGGGACTGCAAGAAGAACTGGTATTTTTCAAGGCAGGGATATTCACAGATTGAGTAAGGAAGAAGAGGTGTATTTTTAAAGCAGTATTTGTAATGTATTTATTTTCCAGAAAGAGGGTTTAAGGAAACGAAAAGCACTGACTTTTTGAGTAATTATTTCTCAAAGGAGAAGTGCATACAGTAGGAACTGCTTTGCTGGGATGGCGGGGTGGTTTGCTCAGGTTTGTTCTTAACAAATAGCTTAAAACTGGAAGTGGTTTCTGCAATAATGTTGCAGACTTGGCTGGTTTTAGAACTTTTGAAATCTAGGTTCCTTCTTTTAAAAATCTACACTTCTCTGCTTATTTTCAAATGGAACGAAACCAGCCTTTCCCAGGCTCGGGAGACTCCTGGGCTGTGCTGGCAGCCTTCGGCCGCAGCCTGCGCAGCGCACGACCTTGCTTCCCCAGCGCAGAGACAGCGCAAGCTCTGAAAAGAAGTTATTCGTGCTTTTCTGGCAGATGCTCCATCCACTCTGCTCTCTAAGAAATTCGACTCTCGACCCTCGGAAGTGTTAGAACTCCAGAGTTCTCGCAGACGAAGCAGTGTGAGCAGGGAGAGCCGGGTTTGGGGCAGCGCCCTCGCCAGACAAATGGGACTGATCTGCGCTGCGGCTTTGTAGCTCAGAGCCAGGGTAATATTTCAAAAGCGAGCAATAAAAGTCTTGGGCGAATCAAACGCTCCTCTGGCTGGTTGGAAAAGAGATTTGAAGCTTTTTATTGTGCTCTAAACAGCCCTGCAAACGGTAAACTGGCGAGCGGTTAGCCGTCTTCTACCTTCCTTCAGGGGTCGTGTCCCTCGGTTAATATGCAGATTCACTGGTGCCTGCCTGCCTATAATTCAGGGTAAAGCCCTAATGTGATTACAAGCAAAAGGTCAACTGGCCTCACTCGCCTCTTGGCCTGGGGAGTTAGAATTCCTCTCTCTTGGATGGAGGGGTTTCATTCACACTCAAGCCCGCACAGCTGCGGGAAAGAAGCCTAGGGGGCTTCGGAGAAAGCTCTGGCAAGGGACGCCCTCGATGTACAGGTCCAACTGCCCCCACCGCCCTGCCAGCGACCATGTGGACTGCAGGTCTGCGCTGCCTGCATTTAACCCCAGAATTATCCCTTTTCTCCATCAGCCTCCGCCCCCTAAGCCATGATCATGAAAAAGTTATCCCTGCGAAAGTAAACGTGGCGGTGATTTTTGCTCCTGTTACACCTTAACACTATTCAGAGTAAGCTTTATCTCAGAATACAGCTACGAGGATCTGGAAGAGAAGGCTGCTGAAAGACCAGATTTACAACTGTTAGGCAGATAAACCCCTAAGGTCTGAAAACAAAATTAAAAGTTGACATGTTCTAGTCAGCAGTCCTCAAATTGTTCAGGTTAGAAACCTGTCAGTCTCCATAGGGATCCCTTTCTAAATGGCAAACCCTACACAAGGAATCACCAAATAGCAATCCAATTTTCCTTTTTCTAGGAAAAAAAAAATCATATAGACCCCCTAGAAAAACTGCCACTCCCATCTTCCTTTAGAATCCAGTTGGGACAAGTATCTAACACACACACACACACACACACACACTACTTCTTTTTACCAACTTCCATACAGATCACACAGTGAGAAGATAGACCTGCACAAGGTCAAAACAGTTTTTAAATTCTTGTAAACGATAAAATAAACGATCCGTTTCTCCAAGGTGAGCACATAAAGCAGGTTCCCACTCTTAAAGAGGCTAAAGTTTAACCCCTTGTCTTCACCATCCCCACTATCAGCCTGGAAGAGGACATGCAGACTGGAGGTTACACACAAGTCCCAAAGGTAACGCCCTCTCCTGTCTTCCCACCTAGTCCCCCAACCACCCAGTACCTTCCTGCATATCCGTGTACACACACTCACACACACACACACAATCTCTGTGATGGCCTGACTGTATATGGGAGGGGTAAGAACTGGGCTAAATCCACGACCTGCTCAGCCCCAGATCAATAAAAAAAAGAAAAGCATAAAACCAATCGTACAACACCCCAAATGGTCTCAGTACTTCATGTCACCTCTACTTTATAAACTGAGCCAGACGACCTGCTTCAGCCTCAGATCAATAAAAAAAAAGAAAAGCATAAAACCAATCGTACAACACCCCAAATGGTCTCAGTACTTCATGCCACCTCTGAGCCAGATTTCACTTAGTACTCTACGAAATGGGCTGTCACCAAACTTAACGTGGCAAGGATCCGAGCCAAGAATGGAAGCTGCCATCACAATAAAAGGGCATGCCTTTCTTCTCTGTTAAAGCAGGGTATGGTCTGACCAAACAGCTACTGGTAAAAACATAGAGATCAATGAAACTGGGCACATACAGATCAATGGAGCCAAGGGTCCAAAGTTGGAAAATAGGTAATTGAAATGTTATTGATTATTCTAATCAATGTCTCTGCCTTGATTATCTAGCACTTTTACAGGTTATGGTTGAATCCAAACAAGGAAAAAGAGGCATTCATAGGCACAGGGGTTCTCATAGTACAATGGGTAAAACATACCTGAGTCTTAAAATCTAATCATCTGACAAAATTTTCAAAATTGGCTTGAGAGGCTAAATGATTTATTTTGAAAGAAAGCTACCCTGTTGAAAGATGGGACTAAACCTCTTGCAGCCTCTCAGAGATGACTCTTGATAAATAACACCTTAAAATAATCAAAATCTTTTTACCATGCATTTCCAAAGAAGCCACAGTGAATAACACATTAGTCTGAGATTTACACTATATTCACTGTTAGGCAGTGTCTATTGTAATGTGTTCAGAATGTGATTGAAAAAGAAATGTAAACTCAGTGGAATGAAAAAGATAGACTTGGCTTTAATTGAAAAAGACAAACTAAGTGAATAATGAGTATATAAAACCTAGCCTATGCCACTTTTATCACCCATATATGACACTTAATCTTAAATTTATGAGGGACAACTGAACTGTGTTTCAAATCACCAGAGGCTTTCCCTAGTCTGTTGTTTCTATCTTCTTTCCAGTAATACTTAATGCTGATCACAGTAGAGATAAACCCACTTGGAAATTTTTCATATCCTGCTCTGTTTTAGTATATTTATATTCCTCCTTCGAGAAGAGGAAACCGATGATAATCTGGATTAAATAACTAGTTTAAAAGGTGCAAAATATCAAGAGCCTTATTTAGTAATTTGAGACAAAAATACTTTCAACAGGAAGTCATGTCAAAAGACCCCTCCCAAGAAAAAGTAAGACATTACATATGCTTAAAATAAGTAGGCAAATAATTTTTTGAACATCACATCTCAATTCATTCATATTATTTGACCGACAAAAGACTCTTTAAACTTCTCGTCCTTTGATTTACAAATGTATATTTCTATTTCTGTAAGAGAAAATCTTAACAGTGCTATAGACTGATCTCATTTTAAGATTTAATGTTCTCATCTCAACTTTATGCTCATTAGTTATTGCTGTCAAAAAAAAAAAAAAAAAAGGCAAGCTTGGTTTAACTCTGTAGAAAAACTCAGGTGCTGAGGAAGGTAACTATTGGTGACTCAGTAGGTGGCAGTATTCCCTTTACGTACTCAGCCAATGCCCCCAGAAGGAAGTTATGGGACACTGCATATGCTATAAGTAATTCTCATTGGAAAAATAAAACCAAAACGTTGACCAAATTATAAATGGAACTTTGGAAAGGTGGAAATCACACCATGCTATACTCAGCACTGAGAAAATTCTGTCTCTATTTCAACTGAATTGCATTCTTTACCTAGTGCCCCTAAAGGTATTATTGATTAAAACATCTGAAGGGTAAAAAAAAATCTGGAAATCCCCAAATGGGGAAAATGTAATATTTCTAATCAAGACTACCACGTGAACAAAATCTCAAGGTCACTTTGCAGAAATGATATAGTCACTTTATTGCTTGGTTTGGTTTTGATTTTTCAGAGCACTAGGGACCACAATTCTTTTATCACTGGTTTTTATTTTCTAATTAATTTTTTAATAACATCCTCAAATAGATTTACTTTTTAAAACTGTTGCTCTAAAACAAATTAATGAGAGTGATTGAAAATCACTAAGAAACCAGTATTTAAAGGATAATTAAACTAATGAATGGGGGTAGAGGGCACTGGTTTTGGTTCCTCTTACATTCTTGCTCGCCTGGAGGTAAAAACTCACATAAATCAAGATTATTCTTGCTATTAGTCCTAGTCAAAATATTTGAATGTAGGACATTAAATGGACAAGATTTGTGATTATCTTTTGATTTGAATTATCCAGACTAAGCTGTTCTTCTATTGTGCTAGGGGGAAAAAAAAAATCAAAGGTTGCCAGTAGTGCATATGTTAGTCCCAAATTTGCTTTTAACAACAAAATTCTGTAACCAAAAGATAATTCAACACTTTTTATTAGAAATATAAGACCTTCAAGGTTTAATATACTGATTGACAGAAAATATAACTGTCAAACTAGACACTTTTTCAAGGATATTATTAAGTGTTAGTTAAGAATAATAACACCTTTTTTTGCATTTTTACAGAATTTTTTTAAAGGGGAAGAAATGAGGTGGGTGCAATATTAAAAGGAGAGCCTAAAATTGTAATAATAAGAAAGAAAAATAAAGATGAAAAATTAATATGGTAAGATGGATGTTTGAGCACCTATCCCTACTGAGCAACTGAAATGTAAAACACTTAACCATATATGACATAACTATTTGAATAATAGACACAAGGAACACAAAAATATCTAAGCAATGTTATTTTTATAATCACTAACTTTTGACTTTATACTCTTTTTTCCCTGAAAGCAAAGGACTTTAACCTACTGAAAAGTTTAGTTCCTTATCCTCCCTACCTTTAAATTCTCACATGGTGTCAAATATTCAATGCTCAACTCCAGTCACAACTACGAATAACCTCCTTAGTTTCGAAGAGAATATACTAAATAAGCCAGCAATACCTCTAAAATGCAAATAAATACAAACACTTGCTCTATAGTTTTAATTCTATATCTAATCATATACTATTACCCAATATGCTTGAATTATAAAAATAATCATGCATAATTCCAACAATTTCTTTTGGATGAAATATGTGAAATAATTGCTGAGGGAACCTATTCTTAAAACCTTCCCTACCTCAAAAGATGATTTTAATTCAGTCAAAGATAAAACATTAACAACTTTGCTTGAATTAAAAATAAGGGAAAAAACCTGAAAAACATTGACTCACTTTTTTCATTTCTTTAAATATGTATATATGTATGTATATATACATACACACACACACACACACACACACACACACACAAAACCTCCAAGTTTAGTCTGGTACTTCTTGAAAATATTCTATGAAATTAAAGTATAATCCAAATTTATAATCCTCAAAGTTTTAGTGTTTTAATACTTCATGTGTACATTAATGAGATTTGCTTTAATAATATGAATTATTGAAAATGTCAATAAAAGGACTTTTAAAAAGCTAATTTCAGACACTATATTAGTATAGTATCTGACTAAAAAGTGATGGCAGAAATATATAGAAAGCATTAGCAGATAATTTAAAGAGACAATTCTGAGCTTTTAAATTACAAGAATAAGGGTCATATGAAATCCTGTGATCTACTGGAATCAGAGAATAAAGGTCTCAAAACCTATATATGATACTGTCTGTGAATATGTATGATCATGGATCCAAATAGAGGTCTGTACCTTTCTTTCTTAAATTCAAAAATAAAGACCCAAGAATATTCTGAAAATGAGGACATCTATTTTTGGAATAATGATAAACATTGCTCTGATCTGGTTATTAAAATAATATCCCAAATAAGAATACCAACATTGTATCGATGATAATGTTAACTGTAGTAAAACAAAATCAGTTCTCATATGAAGCTCTCTTATAATGGGATAAAAGCTGCCTTAAAAGGGTCTTTACAGTTCTTTCCATGTTCCCCATCAATGAAAACAACTATGAAATACTACCTCACCACAAATGCATTCATCATACGGTCTCATGTGCAAATATTTGTACACTTGGTTTTATTTTCTGCATCATATTCATGATGCTACCCACCAAAATAGTATTACAGAGTACTAAGAGACTTGGCTTTACATTGCTATAGCAGTTTTCATTTCAAACGTCACATTTTAGATGACATTTGCTTTTTTGTATTACTTTTTAAGACTTAGAATAAGTTGTAATGTGGACAACTTGTAATGTGGACACTTAACAGAAATCCTTTAAATTCAGTCATTTACAATCAATATTGAAAGATAAATATTTTATAGACAACCAAAGGAACACAAATTTCAGTTTTCAGAATTCTGATGTGCACAAGACAAATGATAGTAGGAATTCCAGCAAATCAGGATAGGCAAGGTTTATACTACCCTGAAAAAAATATATGTTTTCTACCTTGTGCAGAAATATACATTTTTTATTAGTCCTTAGTGAAAATACACACCTTCATATTCAGTACATTAATCAACTAGTAGTGGATTCCTAATAACATTGAAGAACCACATTTTACCTCTAAAAATAAGTTCCTATAAATGGTAATGTAAAACTGAGAAGGGGAAAATGAGAGTGCAAATATGAAGAAGTTTCATCATCTGACACAGGAAGTAGGACTTTTAACTCATCCTTCCTTTTTTGCTTTAATGTTACTGAGGCTGAAGACAAACAGCCATTTGAGAATGAGGCTCTCTTCGAAAGACGTAAATATGAGTGGACTGAAGGTTCAAGAAAAAACAGGAGTCTTAGGAGTGTCAAACCCATCCCATAACCCCTAACACCTGTGGCTGTGACATCTCTGCATATCCATTGGCCAGTCCACCCAAGAACTTCTGTGACACCTGCTCCCTTCCCAGTTCTCACACGCGCACTCCTTTCCTATTCTCTCCCGCTGTCTCCCTCTCCCTCCCTCTTACAGACACACACACACACACACACACACACACGCCCCCACAGCGTCTTCACGACGCGTGCAGAACTGTCCTGATCCAATTAGACCATCAAGATCTTCGCCACCATCCCACCAAACCTCCACCTCACAAGCCTTCTCCCCGCCTCGGCTCCAACAGCCCATTTCCCTCCGCTCTGTCCCGCCCCCACTGGCCAGCGGACTTGGGGAACGCGGGGAACGAGTAGGGACTCTGAATGCTTCTGTCCCCACCGGATCGCCGTCCCCTCGCCCCCGCCCCGGCGGCGCTGCCCGCCCCCTTCCCGCTCTTTACCTGCCAACAGGTTCCTAATTTCCTCAGGGAGGGGGTAGGAAGAGGAGGTGCTGCTGGGGTTGGGCGGACCGGGGGGGCCTGCGGCTGCGACCTAGACTCGGGCTAGCGGTCCTGGGAAGGACAGCGGGACTACTACTCCGGACGCTGCCAGGCCGGGGACCACAACAAGGAAGCCACTGAATCTCCAGCCCGCGGCAGCTGGGCGCTCGG